ATCTAGGTGTTTTCTTCTCTCCCCCCCCCCTTTTAATAGTCCCTAGAGATAGGATAATTCTTTCATTACGTTTTCTCTGGTAGTTGCATTTATTTGCTCTCTGTGTGTGTGGTTTCTTTTTTTTGGGGTGGGGAAGATATTTGCAGTTGAATGATCTGCCACTGTCCAGGTTTTTTGTTTTTTTTTTGCAGGAATGCTTCAAATGCCATCTTTTTTTTTTGTAATAATGATTAGGCTCAGATTTACATCTTGAGTACCTTTGCTTTAAATATATTATTCCATTCCTTTCTATGGTTTCTGGTCAGTGTAAAGTGGTTTTGTGTTATTCCTTCATTTTTGAAGGTTGTCTAGTCACTTGCTGAATGTGTTGTCATTGCAATCATCAAATATATGTGTCTTGGAGTTTGAAACAAGGTTTTGTTTTTTTCCCCCTGGTATAATCTGTAGATTCTTTTGATTGGTGTTTTGTTTTCTTTATTCAGTGGTTCTGGGAAGTTTTCTTGTACTGTTTCTTGCATTTTGATCAGTTTTTTTGGCTTTTCATGGTCTTCTGGCAGGCCTATTATCCTTGAAAGGTTTCTAGGCATCCTGACTATGAGATTAGGTGTTTTGCTTTGTGTTTGTATAGAGATCGTGTGTTACTGAGTTTTTGAGAGACCTACTACAGTATTTTGAGTTTTTCTATTATACTAATTGTTTTTGCTATCCAGGCCATAAGCTGCCATTTATTCCTATCTTTTTCTCTCAAGAGTCTGATTTTCTTTCTCAAATCATTCTGGAACATCCTACTGTGGTTCCACACTCTCTTGGCAATCCACAGGGTTCTGAAATTTATCAGGTGTTATAGCTTATAGTGTTTATTTAAAATCATTCCTTCCCTAAAGTCAAGCACCTTCCTTGCTGATATATTTGCATGTGTTCTAGGTTTTCAGCTGAATTTTTTTCCTCCTGAGATCATTGGTGTTTTTATTCTATGCCCCCCCTTCCATATTCCTTATGACTCATTTTCTGACTCTTCACTTGATGTTGGGTTGCCCCCTCACCCCAGCCCCTACTGGACCTCAAAACTTTTTTTGGCCTCCGCCTATGTTGAATAATTTCCTTTTCACTGACTTCAGTCCCTGACCCAAGTAGCTTCTAGGTGGATGGGACTGACCCAGCTGGATTCCAGTTTTCCTTCAGATCCGTTATCCCCCTGCTATGTATTATGTACTTGCTAAATACTTTCCCCTCCCCACCAACACAATTTTCTCTATATTTTAGTTATTTAGATGGACTAGTTCCATGCCTATCCCCTTTTTCAGGCTTGGGGGAAGATGGTATGGTTCTATACTGACAGATCTGCCACCTTAGAGTTACCTAACCTGAGTACCACTCCAGGCAGAACAAGGACCCTCACCACCTATACCTCAACTATCTCCACATTTGACTAGGCAGAATTGAATTCTTTTGTTACTGCTGAATGCTAAGGGGAAGGAAAGGAGTTGACTGTGCCAGCAGAAACTTCAGCAAGAGGAAAGTCATTGAGTGGGTCCCAGAACACAAGCCTGTGAGTCAGACTGTATGCCCTACCTTCAACCTGAAGGTTGCTGAGAAAGGGAGGGTGCTGAATTAGTGTTCTCCACTGTGAATTCATAAAGCTGTAATTGTTCTATCTCCCACACATATTTCAGAGTAAAGATTGGAGAAAAATATCTAATTTTCCATCTTATTGGTTTTATTACCTTGCAATATCCCATTACATTAATAAAACATAATTTGTTTTACCATCCCTCAGTTGATGGACACTGTTCTTTGCTACTACAAAAAGAGTTACTCTATTTTTGTACATATAAGCCCAGTCTGATTGAATGTAAGGTAGAACCTCAGAATTGCTTTAATTTCTCTAATAATGGTTTGGAACATTTTTTCATATGACTATTGATAGCTTAGATTTTTTCCTTTAAAAATTGCCTTTTCATATCCTTTGATCTTTTATCCCAATGCTATTCTTAAAGTAGGTCAGCGATTTTTTTTCTTTTGATCAGCGGATACTCTATATGCTCTCATTGTTCTTGTTAGAACTTTTTTTTTTCATCAGTGGGTTAGTTTAAATCATTACAGTTTGGTTCTTAAGAGATTCCATCCCTCCTGGGCTGACTTCCCTAGTAGAATATTAGGCTATGGTAGTTAGAGGACCTATCCTTTTCCTGAGCTCTTTGGAATTTTTTTTTCCCCACATCTAGGATGTATGTCAGATTTTGTTCAACCTTTCCTTCCTTATTTCAGTACTTAGAGACTAAATGTGGCCAAACAAAAATTATAAGACTGAAGCCAATCTAGTGGTATTCTACCTCTTTGAATTTAGCAAAGCTTATTCTTAACAATGGACATACGGTTTGTCATCATTAATTTCCTTGAAGCCTTTCTGGTTGGTATGTCACCTATCGGAACAAACTCTGTAGACATAGGCTTTGAGAAATCAGTCATTTCTGTACCATGATGAGCTGTCAGAGTGGTTGTAGGTGGCTTTTTTTTAACCTTTTGTTTGGGCTAGGACCTAAAGGCTTTTTCTTTCTTAGTTGAGATCACTTAATAATCTGTTGATAATCAGTTAGGGTATTGTGCGTGTGTGTGTGTGTGTGTGTGTGTGTGTGTGTGTGTGTGCAGATAATTAACTTAACTATACTAAATAAATATTTTAATATCAGTTAACCAAAGCTGAGTTAAATCTAGAAGCTAGAAGTAACCATACACTTATTGGAAAGGGTTTTAAAGAAAATTTCTTTAAGAGATTCAGAGGAAGAGAATAGGGAACCTGAGGAAATGTCATGCAACTCAACTTCTGCCAAGCTCTATTCAGTAGAGATTCACCTTCTTATTTACTACAGGCTCTTAAAATTTCCTTTCAAGATCCCCACAGTTTAATTTCAACCATCAATTTATTTTCCTTTTTTTTTTAAATTTATGGACTAAAACAAATATTTACATAACATAGTATAATAAGAAAAAAAGATGATTGTACATGAAACTGCAACTCTATTATATACAACTTGCTATTTTTTTCTTCCCTCCCTCCCTCCCAGAGATGGCCAACCATCAGTTTCTCATAATTAGTCAGAATCAGTTCCAGAATAGTACTTTCCCTATATGACTTACTTTTGGGGAGAGGGTACAGGGGAATAAAATGATCATAGGATCATAGATATAGAAAGTTACCTCAGTAATTTTCTAGTTAAACTCCTCATTTACAGTTTAGGAAGCTGCGTCTCACAGATTAAATAACTTGGCCAAAGTTAGATAGATAGTAAGAGTTATTAAGACAAGCCAAGAATTTATCTGCTCTGCTTTTGAAAGAGAAAAAGATCTAGCCAATGTCTGGTTAGTTTGAATACCCTATCATATCTTTTGTGTGTGTCTGTGTGTGTGTGTGTAATCTGTGTCTTGGAAAGAAATATCCACTTTTTTCCTTTCTACTATGGGTTCCAGTATATTACAACCACAGTATCTATATTTTCCACCACATTTCTGCACTGTTTTGTGAATTTCCTCTCATGAATATATTTCCTTAATACTTCATACAACTCTGCTGCCTTCTAAATAGTCCCATTTGACCTGTAATTTTGAATTTTGAACTTCTATTACTGCTGCTTTGGAGTGCCTCAGACCCTAAATGCTGCCCACATCAGGAAATCCCAAAAATCTGATATCTTAACTTGATTTATTTTCAATGTATGACTCCATCATAGTTATTCACAATCTTCATTACACTTAGGTTTAGTTATTGAAATCATGAGGAAAGCTTTGTCTTTTTTTTCCTGTCAGACCCTTCCCAGATAGACACTTCACTTATTTATTTAACTTACTAGAATATAATTTCTATCTAAATACAGTAATTCTGTAGAACAAACACTGAGTCACTAGAAAATAAATCTTGGAAAATTGATTAAGTTCTGAGGATTAGGGTTTTGTTTTGTTTTTTCTTAAAATGCTTGAGGGTGTAACCAAGAAAGGCTCACTGTATTCAAAGCTGTTATCAGAATGCTGGTGTCTCTTTATCTTCAGTATTCTTCATAGTCTGTCAGTAGCAAGGTAATTTTAGACAATTTTCTTTAGTGAATCAAAATTGTGGGTGTAGGATTTATCAAGTTACATGTTACATACAGATAGAATATTACAAGTGCAAAGAAGTATATGCAGAAGTGCACTTATTGTAATAGTGGTTTTTTGCAGCCTGTACCTTGTCCAGATAATTTTTTTTCCTCCTTGCCTTCCCAAGAAGTCTATTTTTTTTCTAGTTCTACAACCCAACTATTCCATTAAGTGCCTTAGTTGAAGGAGGGTGCTGGTTTCTTTTGGTCCTCAATTCTTGTCAGTTCAGACTGTCTTTACTTTGGACTCCCTTCGGCGCTTTTGTTTCATGTTCCATTCATCTAACTTTTAGTGTCTTCTGCCTCATTCCCAAGGTTCTAGTTTCTTTTTTGTCTTTTTAACCTTTTGTTTGGGCTAGAACCTGAACAAACCTAAAAGCCTTTTCTTAGCCGTATAACTTATTAGTCTGTTGATAATCAGTTCTAGTGTTGAAAGTGTATACTGATATTAGCTTAAGTATACTAAATAAATATATTTTGATATCAGATAACTAATGATGAATGAAGTCTAAGAGTTGGAGGTTACCTGTTTTTACCTTTACTGGAAAGGGTTTAAGAAAACTGCTTTAAGGGATTCAGTAAAAGAGAGTAAGAGTAGGGCATTTGAGGAAATGTAGTACAATTATTTCTGCCAAGCTGTACTCATTTTAGAAAGCTCAGAACCCCTTGAAACTGATTTCCAAGAAAACTTGGAAATTTAGTTTGCCTGTCCTTTTGTTGGAAACAACCTTTAAGGATAAAATAAACCATAGTCCTAGACTCAGTTTTTGGCACAGAAGGATCACAGTACAGTATAGAAGATAGATTACAAAGCATTCTTTCCCAGGGAAACCTCTCCACTGGACTCACTCTCTCAATATAATATTGCAGAAATCATGACCACCTCAGGAAAAGAGAACTTCCGCCTAAAGAGTTACAAGAACAAGTCCCTGAATCCTGATGAGATGCGCCGGAGGAGGGAAGAAGAAGGACTTCAGTTACGCAAACAAAAAAGAGAAGAGCAGGTAAATATTTTATCTTTGGTAATTTGTCATAGTTTGTTTAATATTCCAGGATAAACCTGAAAGAAAACAAAGTCAATTTATAGTTTTGTTCATGGTTTTAGATACTTGTTTTATGTACTTTCAAGCCAAACTATCTATGGTGGCAGTTTCCACATTGTGAGCTCCCTACATCATTGAATTGCAGGTCCATCTGACTCCATCCACACCCCAAAGTGCGCATTAGAACAGTGCTTCTCAAATCTTTCTACTTGTTCTAAGTTTCTTTTTAGAACAGCTGATGTATACTTTTGGGAGAGAATTCTAAGTTTCTCTCTAAAAGTAAAGGTATGAAGGCTGAAGGAGACAGATTGATGCTACCCAGGCCGGTGATGGGCAGACCTAGAAGGGTTCCAAGAAGGATAGTGGCATCTGAGGAAGGAAAGACTAGTCACGATTTACTTATGATTATAATGGTATAACATATTTTTAAAAATATATATTTTATTTCATTAAATATTTCCCAATTACATGTAAAAAAAAATTTCAGCAGTCATTTTTTTTTAAATTGTGAGTTCCAAATTCTCTCCCTCCCTCCTTGAGAAGGCAAGCGATTTGGTATCAATTATACATGTGAAGTCATGCAAAATATTTCCATGTTAGCATGTTACAAAAGAAAACATGTACAAAAAAATAAAACAAGAAGAATAATTTTTAAAAAGTATACTTCAATCTTCATTCAGAGTTTATCAGTTCTCTCTCCGGAGGTGGGTAGCATTTTTCATCATGGGTCCTTTGGAATTGCCTTGGATCACTGTCTTTATCAGAGTAATAAAATCTTTCACAGTTGGTCATCCTTACAATATTGCTTTTAATGTGTACAGTGTAACCAGCTTTTTAAAAAATCTGTATGTGTCAACCATACTTACTAGATTCTCTGTAAAGAAGAAACTTTTTTTCAAGTTTATGTCCATTAATATTATATTGCAACATTGTAAACAATTGGAAAGGTTGAGTACTGTATACCAAAAAAAACTTTATGATCAAATACTTAGTTGCCCAGTTGCTTTTCCCCCATTCATTTGACTTTTTTTTCACAGAGATGGATAATAATAAGTATATATGCTTATACTGCCTTTCTGGGAAACAGAGTACTTTTCTATCAGTTATGACTTTCATAAGACAACTACCTTTCTCTTGACCATTTTTTTTTGTACCACCCACATCTTCATGCAAATCACCTATAGATTACTGCACATAAATGTGACTTGATGTATACACATTCAGGCATAAAGATTTCTCAGTGCATAAATCCTTTCATAGAAGTTGATTGGAATTCAGTATATCTGCTTGTTGTCATGCAAAGTTAGGACTGATTTCAAATGAATGGCACACAACTCTAAGATGGGTCAGAATGTTTTTTGTTTTTTTTTTTTAAAGCAAAGCACAGCATTGGAGAGTGTGGACAGGTGCAGTCAGGGATAGAGTTGCATATGGTTTCTGTTGCCTCCCTACTGTCCTAGTGGCAGCATGTTGGGTAGTAGCTCAGACAAGTAGTGGATATGGTTATTGTTTGAAGGCCTAGAGACACTGGGGGACTGGGTTTACATAGGGTTTTCAGACAGAGGTCCTACTATGATGGCTATCATGTTGCCAGTGGAATGATGAGGCCACGCATCTTGAACCAACAGCAAAGGGAGAGAGCATTTCTAATACAGAAGGCCTACTTAGAATGAGGAAGGTAGAATCATAGCTTTGCCACATCCACCAGATTGCTAGAGCATTTCAACAGTCAGCTCTAACTACAACTGGGTGCAATTTGATCCTCAAGTCACTTGAGTCAAGTGTATCAAGAGGTGTATAATGGGAGATAGTCCTAGGAAAGTGGAGCCTTAGATTCCTCTGGCTATTTACTTGGTCACTGCTAGTTTTATGCAGTGCATTGTCTACACTACATTATAGAATGCTGTATCATTGCAGATGCATTTTTGATGCTATAATTCCTTGGGTGTCAACATTTATTGCATTCCTGGGATATATAATGAAATAGCATGCTTTATACTAGAAAGCTGCCTAAACAATTCTTTTTTGAATGGTTAACACCAGTGATTTGTGAGGTGTGACTTGACTATTGAAACTACCAATAGCATGGTGTATTCTTCCTTATTGATGCTAGAATTCTATTTGAAATTTAGTTATTTTGTTTGTGTTATCTTTACAGACACAGCTTATTACATTGTTTAGGCTATCTAATATGTCTGAGATAGAGTAGCATACTGTTATTGTACAGTCTCATAACAAAGTGGTGAGCATCATGGCACAATACATGTTTATTTTGGAACTTATCTTAATTCCGTGATCCTTCTAGTTGCTTCATCATCTCTCTGAAAATATCACTGTCTTCTGTCAACTCAACCATTATTTTTTTTGTGTTGAGAGTATTATGAGAGAGGATGTTTCAGAGTTAGCAGAGTTTCTTTCAGTGATCAACCATTTAGCAAAATGTCACTGAAAAGGAAGGACTCTCAGACTAAAGTAAAATTTAAGCAAATGATTCTAACTTATGCATTGTTTTGCTTATTATCAAAGCATGCAATATTAGTAACATTGAATATGGAATAATCACTGTCAATGTCTTTTGCCCTCAAAGCATTAAAGATTGAACATGGTCTCTTTTTGTAAACTAACTGATGCTTATGTCAGTCTTTGAAGACAACATAGCATTGTTGAAAAGTAGATAATAAACTATAATACAAAAAAATAGGCTTGTTTAATTCACAGCAATTCTGTCTTTCCTATATATCTCCTGCAGTGAGCAAATGTTTATAGATACCTCTATAGTTTCCCATTCTTATCAACTGTTTTGTTCATGTCAACTTTTGAGAATAGAAGTGAACTTGGATTCTAGAAAGCTTTGCCAATGAAACACTAACTATAGTGAATTGTACTGAGCTGAAACAGTTTTGAGGACAGTCCTAGCAACAACCTGAGTCTGCTTATTCAAGAGCCAGCTTAGGTAAATATGGAGAATCACCACTAGGATAACTGCTAGGTGATGATTTATTATTTCCTGAGTTTTCATGGCTTGGCTAAAATACAAAGTAGTCAGTTTTGAGCATCTTCTTCCCCTCTGAATGTCTGCAGTGAAAATGGCAGAGGATACTCAGAATCAGTTTTTAGACAGTCTATAAATATTATTTAACTATTGGTACTCTAAATGTGAGATCCTTATGGGATCTTACATGAGGCTTCTAAGTGGTATATAGTAGATAGATTGCTGGATTTACAATCAGGAAGACCTAAATTCAAATCCAGCTTCAGATACTTATTAGTTTTATGACTCTGGACAAGTCACTTAACCACAGATTTTTCATTTGTAAAAATGGAGATATTAAATAACACCTATTTCCAGGTTATTGTGAAGATAAAATTTATATATATGTATGTATTTGTGTTTATACACACACACACAAAATACATACCCATATGTGATATTTATATAATATTGATTACATAGAAAATCTGCATACAAATATATACATACATATACTGTTGTGCTGAGGGTAGTATGAGAGAGAATGTGTGTATGCATGCACACATATATGTATAGATTGCTATTTATCTATCCAACTATCATCTGTCTAAAGCATTATTATTTTATGTCCTTGGACAAGTCACTTAACTTTTCTCAGCACCCACTTCATAGTATTCTTGTCAAGATGAAGTGAGATTTCTGTGTATGCATGTATTATGTACACATTCAGATTTTATTTACATATGAGTAATATGTAAGTACATATGAATATATTATAAAATATACTTTTATTTATATATAAACACTATATTGGTATATAGATAAGTATATATAAATTTTTGTTTACATATAATTTATGTGTAACTATATGAATAAAATATGTAGGTATACATATATACACATAGAAATAAAAGTCTTGTTTGATCTTCACAGTAATCCTGTGAAGGGGGTACTGAGGAAAAATCTGTAGCTGAGAAAGGTTAAGTGCCTTGCCCGGGGTCATAAAACTATTAGGTATCTGAGATAGGATTTGAATTTTAGTATTCCTGACTACACACAGCTTTGAAAACCTTGAAGTGCTTTATAAGTGTTAATTATTATGTGAACCAGTGGGTCCCTGGAGGAACTGAACATATCAGTATTGACATTGTTGAGAATCATAAAATTTCAGCGTTAGAAGGGACCTCAGTGGCCAACTAGTTGGTTTCCTTTTTGAAGAAGAATTCCCTTTACAACATACCTGACAAAGGGATTCAGCATTTACTTTTTATAGACATGGGAATTCACTCCTTCCCATTTATCCATTCTACTTTTGGATAGCTCTAATTCTTGATACAAATGAAACCAGAAGGACAAAGAGGTTCTAGTTAAATGGAAGGATGCCTCATAGGCTGCCCTTGGAGTTGGAAAAGGAGGAGATCAGTTGTTTTTGATCAGTCAAAAAACATTAAAGACATCATTTTATGGCATGCTTGGTCCACTGTGAAGGTAATGACAGTTTAAGCAATAAAATCTGTTGCCAAGGTTGAAGAAGTAGAAAAATTGTGAAGATCCTCCAAACTAAGTCATTATATACCTTTAATAATCAGTACCTTTACTGTAAAGGTGGAAGTAGAGGAATGTGGTGAAAAACGTTTGAAAATACGGTTTATGGTTAAGAAAAAAGTGGCTTCCTACCTGTATATTATGAATACTTTTTTTTTCCAGAAGAGAGTTCATAAGATTAAGGTTCTTAGAGACCATCTAGCCCAATCCACTCGTTTCCAGATGAGGAAACTGAAGCTCTGAGAGTTTGTCACATAGCTAATAAATATCAGTGTGGTATTTGAACCCAGGTCCTTTTGTTTTAGAATCAGTGATTTGTTTCCACTGTGCCACATTGCCTCTTGAAACAGCAAAACAAAAAGACTACATATCACTACCTTGCCCAGACTGGAGTACAGTAGCTATTCAAGGTCGTAATCCCACTACTCATTGACTCAAGAGTATTGATCTATTTCATTTCCTACATAGGCTAATTTATCCCTCCTTAGGCAACCTAATAGTCTACTGTTCCCAGGGCTTTGCCACACTTAGTGTTGCCATCTAATCAGCATAGCTTCCTGGAGCTCAGAACCACTCTAATCTCTAGCCTCCTGTTCAGTTAGGGCTGTGTATATAATGTAAATGCCCCCATGCAGTTTGGGAGGTACTATACATGTCACTCAATCATTTAGTCAGGCATTTATTAAGAACCTGCCACGTATCAGGCACTGTGATAAGCCCCAGGGATATATAGAAAGGCAAAAATACCTGCCTTCAAGGGGCTGAAATTCTAATGGGGGAGTTATACAGACAAACTATGTACATACATGGGAAGGCACCAGTGTGGGGTGGGATTGGAGTGGGAAGGGCCTCTTGCAGAAGATGGAATTTAAGATGAATCTTGAAGGAAGCCGAAAAGCAGATATGAGGAAGGAAACATTCCAAACATAGGACACAGTCAGTGCCAAGGAAGGGAGATGGGAGTGTTGTGTGTGAGGAGCAGCAAAGATAGTGTTCCTGAATCATAGAGTATGCAGAGAGTAAAGTATAAGAAGACTGGAAATAAAAGAAGGGACCAGATTTGGAAGGGCTTTAAAAGTCAGACATGTTTTTATATTTGATCCTGAAGGTAGCAGGAAGCCCCTGGAGTTAATGAGAGAGGGGATAACATGGGCAGAACTGTGTTTTAGAAGGATTACTTTGGCACCTGAGTGGATGATGTAGGAAGAGACTTAAGGCAGAGAGACCAACCAGAAATCTGTTGCAGGCTTGAAGTGTTAAGTGCCCACATCAGGGTGGGAGTCGTGTGACTTGAGAGAAGTGCATGTATGTGAGCAGTATTATGAAGGTAGAAATGACGAGACTCAGCAACAAATTAATATGTGGAATAAGTGTGAGAAGAGGAGTCAAGGATGATACCGAAGGTGTCTGGTAAGATGGGATACGAGTAGGAAATTGGTACTTCTTCAATAGTAATAGGAAATTTAGAAGATGGGAAAGTTTCAGGGGGAAGGATAATGAGTTCCATTTTAGATATGTTGAGTTTGATATCTATAGAATATCCATTTTGAGATGTCTAGGAGGCAATTGGTGATGCAGTCCTAGAGTTCAAGAGAGAGGTTCTGTGTGTGTGTGTGTGTGTGTGTGTGTGTGTGTGTGTGTGTAGATTTGGGAATTAGCTACAGTGAGATGATAATGGAAAATGATGAGATCACCAAATGAGATAGTATAGAGTGAGAAGAGAAGTGGACCAGGGACACAGCCTTGGAGAATACCTATTATTAATATGCATGACCAGGATGTTAAAGGAACATTCAGCTAGGTAGGAGGGAAAAACAGGAGAAAGCAGTGTCATGAAAATCTAGAGTGAAGAGAGTATCCGGAAGAGAGGGTGATCAACAATGTCTGAGACTGCAGAGAGGTTAAGGAGGATGAGCATTGAGGAAAAGGCCTTTAGATTTGACAATTAAGAGATCATTTGTAACTAGAAACATCAAGTTCAGTTGAATGATGGACTCAGAAGCTATACTGAAGAGAGACAGAGGAAAAGAAGTAGAGTCCCCAGTTGTAAGATGGCCTTCTTAAGTACTTCAGCCAAGAAAAGAAGGAGTGATAGCAGGAATGGATGGATGAAGTGAGAGTTTTTTGATGATGGTGGAGACAGGCATGATTGTAAGCATTAGGGAAGCAGCCAGTAAAGAGGGAGAGATTAAAGGTTAATAAAGTGGGATTGATGAGGGATGGGAGGCAAACCACTGGAGAAGATGGGATGGAATGGGATGACTTATATGTGAAGAGCAGTTTTTCTTGGCAAGGAAAAGCATTACTTTAATGTGCTTTGCTCACCACTCAATTATTCCTGCACACTCATTGACCAGTACTTCACTGTCTTTGAAAATGAATTGGAAAGTTCTTAGGTGACATGATTGTAGAGTGCTTTTAGTGTCATCTCACGAAATCTTGTTCTAAACTTTTTTGAAGTTTGTTGTTGTTGTTGTTGTTTGCTTTTTGACTAGGCATTGGAGTTAAGTGACTTACCCTGGTCACACAGTTAGTAAGGGTCATGTGTTTGAGGCCGAATTTGAATTCTGGTCCCCCTGAATCCGAGACCAGAGCTCTACCTACTGCGCCACCTAGCTGCCCCAAAACTTTCTTGAAGTTTTAAATGGTCATCATGCTGTGCTTCAGTTGAGCACATTGCCTAGTTTTCTTGGGATCACAGGATATCTTCCTGCTTTAAAAAAAGAAAACTTATTAGTAAGTATAGTATGTGTCATTTAGGACTAATTAGTACACATCCATTATTTTAAAATCATTTTCTTTATACTTTTTGAAATCATGAATATTAGCTACCTCTTAAATTTTCTTATTCATCTCTATCCACTGTGTTCCAACACCATTGTTAGAATTATCTTTTTCAGGAAGAACTTTTAATGTTTTATAATTGGCATTTTTTAAATGTTAAGTTGTTTTTCTACATCCACATTGTTAGCAGTTTGAAACAATTGCTATCTTGCTGTCATAAATGAGTCACAAGACCAGATCAGTGCCTTATCATAACCTGTGGTAATTAAGTATCACAAAGGTTATGCTGCTGCTTCTGACACAATCAGGAAAGTGTCAGTGTTTTAAGGGGCAACCTGCTGATAAAACACAGTTACCAATTATGAAGTCGTGCTGTGTATATAATGGAAGTTGTGTCTTATTTAATTTTTCATTACCCTACACAGGATAACAAGTAAGCCAAATAGTTTTAGTTTTAAAAACAACAGTAGTCACCAAAAATTATCACCTTTATGATACACCACTTCATTGAAGAATCTCATCGACAAAGACAGTAGCCTTTCTGTCTCACATGGAATGCCTCCTTTGTTTAGATGGTAAAATCTTAGTTTTTGAATTGTCAGTTTTGGAGAGATATCTTTTGTTGTTGTTGTTGTTGTTTTTGGTTTTGTTTTCTTACCTTTGTTTCCAAACATATCTCTATAGCCTATACCCCAAATTCAAAAAGGACAAGGAAAAAAGTGTTGCATTTTTTTTAAAAGCAAGAAAAATAAAGAGGAAAAAAACTGCTTCTATCTGTAGTCTGTGTGTTCTTTTCCACGTCCACAGTCTCCTGCTTTTCCATTAAAGGTAGTGAAGTGCGTTTTTCATCTCTTCTTTGGGGCCAAGCTTGGTGTAATTATAATTAGATTTTTCAGTTCAATTTTTATTTCATTTATTCATTAATTTATTTGCATTTACATTGTGGTCACTGTGAATATGTTTTCCTGGTTCTGTTTATTTCTTGCACCATTTCATAAGATTTCTCAAGTTCCTCTGTAATTTTTATATTTGCAATTTCTTTTAGTACAGTAATAATATTCTCTTATATTCACATACCACAGTTGTTAAATTATTCCCCAGTCACTGGGCATGAACTTTTGTTTCCCAACTCTTTACTACTATAAATTGTGATGCTTATTTTGGTGTGTGTGCACAGCCTCCTCCCCTTTTTTCATTTGTCTCCTTGGGGTATATCTTTAGCAGTGGAATCCTTAGGTCAAAAGGATGTGGTCACTTTAGTAACTTTGTAAAGCATAATCTCAAATTGCTTTCCTGAATGGTTAGACTAATTCAAAGCTCCACCAAAAGTCTGTTAGAGTGCTTGTCTTTCTATATCTCTAACATAGACTGAATATTTCCATAATTTGTAATCTTTACTTTTTGTGATTGCTCTGTCCTTTGTTTGGCTAAGAATTCACACTCCAATTCTAGCTTATAAAAGGTACCTGATCTAATTTTCTTTTAATTTTTTTTTAATCTGCGGGTTACATAGCTGTTTTGAATATATATTGCTATACAGTATAAGATGTTGGTCTAAACCTAATTTCTGCCAAACTGCTTTCCATTTCCAGTTTTCTCAATGACTCATGTCAAATAAGGAGTTTCTCTGGAATGTCATTTTAAAAAAAAAAGCTCATCTTATTTTTAATAGTTTATTTTTGCATTACCTTCATTTCGAAATATATCCCTTCCCATCCCTACTCAGCCATTCCTAGTAACAGAAATTAAAAACTAAAGAGGAAAAAAAAGCAGTTTAGGAATACCAATCAATATTTACAGTATACCCAATATTGCATAATCATAAGTCCCCTGCCTCTGCGTTGAAGAGAATAAGGTAAATTTTCTCAGTTCTCTTCCTGGGTCAAGTTTGGTCACTATAATTAGTGTTCTTTCCTATTTCCCTCCCCTTTACCTCCCTCTATTCTTTTATTTCCTTCCTTCTATTTTTTCTTCCTTTCTTTTTTCTTCCTTCCTTCCTCTCTTCCTTCTCTCCTTCTTTACTTTTCTTCTTCCTTTCTCTTTACGTTGTTATACACATTTTGTATATTTTTTCCCTTGTTTTCTTTCTTTCACTGTCTTCCTGTGCGTCTCTGAAATCTTCAGTTTTTACAGTATAATTATTTTCCTCTTACATTCTTATGTCATAATTTAAGTATTCTCCAGGCATTGAGTGTTTACTTTGTTTCCAGTTCTTTGTTACCTTAGAAAGTGCTGCTATGAATATTTTAGTGCATATGAGAGCTTTCTTTCTGCCTTTAACCTGTATACCTGGCCTGTATTAGATGCTTAATAAATGCTTGTTGTTTAACTTCTTTGGGGTATATGTCTGTCTTTGGGATCCTTGGGTTAAAGCGTATCAACGTTTTAGATACTTTTCTCAGTACATAGAATGCTATTCTTAAAAGACTCTTCTTTTTCAGTTGTTCAAGCGAAGAAATGTCGCTACAGCAGAAGAAGAAGCAGAAGAAGAAGTAATGTCAGATGGAGGCTTCCATGAGGCCCAAATCAATAACATGGAGATGGCATCAGTAAGTGAGATGTGAAAGGCAAACATTTTTAATTTTAAAAAAGTCATGAATGTTAGCTTTCTTTTAACTTAAGGAAACTTGTCATATAACTTAGAGTAGTATTTTGTATGTAGGTTATGTATTAACATCCCCTTTTCCCAGCTTCTTCACCCTACCCCAAGGAAGCATATTCGATAGTGCCAAACTTAGAGTCTAGAAGACTCGAGTTTGAAGACTTTGATATTTAATAGCTGTGTGACCCTGGGCATGTCACTTAGCCTCTCTCAGTTTCAGTTTCTCATGTCTAAATTGGAGATATAAATAGTTCTTACTTCAGGCTTGTTGTGAAAATCAAATAACATAAGATATATAATATTAAGTGCTTGCAAACATTTAAGCTCTATTTACCTTCATATGTTGGTGGTTGTGGAAAGAAGATTGTTTAGGAGCATTTTTTTTTAAATTGTCTAGGGAATTACAAGGAAGAATTAAAAATAATGCTGGCATTATTATTGATTTCATTTAACCAGAAGTAATTTGGACATAAAGATGAAGCAAATTAAACTGGTGGAATTTTAAATTGTAATTATATTTTGGAAATTTTATGTTTATCTCATTTTAAGAAAAAAACTACACACCCAAAAAACCGACTGTAATTTTCTCCAAATCAAATCATAGATTGATTCCTTATGTGAATAATTGAAATATATTCCTGAGGTTAGGAAAAAAATTACTCTAAAACATACTAAAGAACATTTAAGATAGAATCACATATCATTCAGAATTAGTAAAAATAAGTAATTCAGAAAGACTTACTGAAATTCTAAAAAAAATTTGCAATATAAAGTTTAGTGTACATTTTAAATGTATACATTTAGAATTTGTTATGAGGCCACAAAAAGATCTAGAACTTGGTTATATGGTCTACATTCTTATCCAAGCTTTTCTGCATATGTAGATAATGAGAGATGAGGAAAAGAAAATATTTTGTATGTCAGTGTTGTATGATATATTCTTCTGGTCTTTGGTAGCTTTCTCAAGCTTTCCTTTTTGAATTAGTAATAGGAACCAGATACCTGCAGAAATTCTTGTAATTTCCTGCTTGGTCTCTTTAAAGCCTGAAAAGAACTTGTGTGTCATCTTTTGTCATCAGGATAATACTAACAAAATATTGTCAGTGTAGATCATTTTGGAGGTTATAATGCATTATGAAAATGTTGAAATGAACAAAGGATGTAATAATTATTATACTTATAGAGTCTAGATAAAGAAGAGGTAGAAGAATAGGACTTTGTCAGGGTACTCTGATTCTAGATGATCAATCTGGATAGCTGAGGTTGAACTATCCCTGCAAACTGGAGAAGGGCAATTAGTTAGGTGCCCTAGTTTCATAAGAATATCACATACGAAGGTCAGCTCACTTTGCACTAAACATTTCTTTGCCAAGCAGCCTTTTGATCTATTATTTAGTGTACTTAGTGCAGTTTAATTGGAAAAAGATGACATTATTAAATTGGTGAATTTTACAGCAATTTATAAATGATAAATTTATATTTTATTAGAAATTGGAGTTCTGTTTTGCAAATTAGTAGAAAGAGCATTGGCCTAGGAGTTAGACTGTGTTCTAATCACCACTGTGTTGCTAACAAGTTGTATAGTTGTAGACAGTCACTTTTCTATGGGCCTTGCTTTCTTTGATGTTAAAATGAGAAGGTAGGATAAGATGATTTCTGGTGTCCCTTCTATCCTGTGATCCTTATAAATTAATACCATTTCATATAAGCAGCATGGTATAGTAGATAGTCAGTCTTAGAACCAGGAAGACGTGGGTTCAAGTCCCACCTTTGACACATGTCTGTTTTATCCTGAGCAAGTTACTTAACCTTTCAGTGCTCTAGGCATATCTCTTAAGAGTATAAGTTATGGAGGAAGTGACGACCTGTATTGGTCAAGGGTTTTTTCTCATGTGGAAGTTTTGTGTACAAATTAAATCACAGATCCAGAATCTCTCCCATTCTATCTATGTAATTTCCTTAGGGCCTTATCACCTTGATAACCCATTGGTTAACTGATAAAACCAAGTTTCTGAACCCACAAATTTGTAAATCAATCCTTTAGCCATGTCAACTGCATGTACAATAACATATTACTTATAAGTTCCCCTACAAACATTTAAGCTCATTTTACCTTCATATATTGGTTACCTTCATATATATATTTGGAAAGAAGATCATCTAGGAGCATTTTTTTTTAAAAAAAAATCATCTAGGGAATTATAAGGAAAAATTAAAAATAACCCATTACGTTTAAGCATGCTAGGACCTCATACTAGAAAGGAGAAAAAATTAGCTGAAAATCTTACCTATTAGTGCTTTTTTAAAGCTGCACCTAACTGATTTGATTTCTCTTATGCTATGGAAGCTAACCTCTCTTAAAGATAACTAACCGCATTTTCAGGTTTACTATCATTGAACAAATTTGATATAAAATAAGGCCCATCCTGTAGAGGCTAATATTTCTTCTTAGGCACACTATACTTTTAATTCCAGTAGCTTACCCCAGGTAAACAAATCTTCAAGGAATTTATAGGTTCAGTGGATAGCCTTTTCTCAGTTATAAATAGAAAGAGGCTGAACTAGTATAGCATATAATTTCAGACAACATTTATTCTCTTAGCAGCTTGGATAATTATTCGTGTTGGTGGATAGAGCTCTGGCCTTGGAGTCAGAAGGACCTGAGTTCAAATCTGGACTCTGATACTAACTAGCTGTGTGACCCTGGGCAAGTCACTTAACCTGATTGCTTCACCAAAAATTTTTTTTAAAAAAATTGTTAGACTTGGAGTCAGGCAAGCTTGAATCTGAATCCTACCTCAGACATTAGCTTTGTGACCCAGGCAAATAACTTAACCTCTGTTAGCCTCAGCTTCTTCATCTATAAAATGGGGGGGTACTAGTAATACTTACTTCACAGGGTTGTTGTGAAGGTCAGATGAGATTTTGTATGCAAAGTGCTTTGAAAAATTTAAAGTGTTATATAAACTCTAGTTAGCTTAAAGTAAATTACTAAATGCTGGTATCTAAATTTCTGAAGCAGTGTTTCTCATTTTATGGAAAGATCATATAGAGAGATTTTTAAACAAATACAACACCTAGGTACAGATTACAACTTCCCTGCCTTAACTTTCACCTGTTACTAGTTATGGCTTAACTATTGTTATCCTTACCAAGGCCAAGTAGTTTATTTCTCTTCTGCTTTTTAAGAATTATAAAATCTAAATGTTAGAAGAAGCATCAGAGATCACCTACCTCACCCTGCCATCCATTGTAAGAATCTGTTCTATATAATGTATACTATTTCTGGTAGGTAATCATTCAGTCTCTTTTAAAATAATTGACATAATGGAAAACTTGCTTAATGAGTCCAATTCCATTTCTAGATACTGTTGTTGTTAGTTCTTCCTTATAAGGATCCAGATTTTGCCCCACCGTTACTTCTGCATGTTTGTCCTAGCTATGCCTTCTGGAGTAAGAGAGAAATTAACTTCTCTTCTGAGTTATATACTCATATATTTGAAAACAGCTTAGTCTTTTGTCCTGTAACTAAATAGCCTCAGTTTCTTCAGTCATTTCTCATATGGTCTGTTTTTAAACTATATTCCCTTCTCTGTAAACACTTTGATTTGTAATTGTCCTTCTTAAAATGTCCAGATTTGGAATTTACCTTAGTATGATACATTTGAGGATTTCAAGAAACGTAGACAAAGCCTCACAGTAAGTTGATAAGAGCTACAGGTTTTATTGATAATATGCAAACCACTAGTAGAACATAAATACAACATGGGCACAAGGCATTTTTGCTCTCTGCCTCATTGCTGTCCCCAGGGTCCTACTTTGGCATGCTTCTTAGAAATGAAACTTCTTATGCATGCATGGAATCCTAGGCAAACAGTTCTCTCTATTCAACTCACTGGTTCTGGATGACTTAAAGATTTTAGGGGGCAGTACAATTTCATCTCGATGTGAACAGTGTAAACCTGAGATACTACATCTTACAAATTTTTTGTTTTTGTTTTGAGGCATTTGGAGTTAAGTGACTTTCCCAGGGTCACATATCTAGTAAACGTCTGAGGCTGGATTTGAACTTGAGTACTCCAGACTCCAGAGCCAGTGCTGTATCCACTGTGCCACCTAGCTGCCCCATTTACACATTGTTTAGTTCAGTCTCTCATTCCCAGCTTGTTTCTAGCAGGAGTATAGAGGTCTTGTAACTACCAAAATGGAGGACTAACCATTTTCTACAATCCTCATGACCTCTCATAGTTCTCCAGAATACAAATTATGTTGCCAGACACAAAGCCATTTCACCTATTTCCATGATCTAGAACACCAAAAACCCAAAGTAAAAACTCAGTGAACAACAGAGAAGGCCACTAATCCCTAAATCCTAATGTTGTTCAGTCAGTACTCCTTTTCTACCACTCTTTCTTTTCTGGCACCATGGTTGCACAAGCTCAATGTGCTTGTAACAGGACACAATTCTACACCTTTACTTCTATCCCCCCTTCTCTCAGGGCTGTGGAGATTCAGATTCCAAATGGCAGAAACTTATTCATGCTGTGATAGCAGCTTGGCTGTGCTGTGTATCACTGGGCCAAAGAAACAAGGAACAGAGAGAAAGGGTGGAGGCAGGTCATGTGTGCGTGAGGCTCTGTGTGGCACTCTACTAAATTTGAGGAAGAGAGCCTAGCATTCAGCAAGTGCTAATTCTTTCCTTATAGAAATTACTTAGGGCCAAGACCAAGGCTAGTGTAGAAAGAGGCAGAGGCATTTTGACATCCAGATCAAAGGGGAGGGAGTAAGAAAGTGAGCAAGAGGGGAAAATAAAGAATAAAAGAATAGTCACCAAAAATCTCAGGAGGTAATATATTCAAGAACTTTGAACATAAACAGATAAACCAACAGGGAAGATATAAATAGCAGAAGGAAATGTGACCTCTGGATCAAGTAAAAGAGTTCATC